GGGAGGGAAATTTTACAACGCCCGGGGCCGTGTCTGCTTCCTCACGGGCATGGGGCAGCCGAACCAGCGCGTCTGCGCCGCACCGGCGCTGGGGAGCTCTGCACTGGGGTTGGGCAACTTTCTTGCAGAGATAAGAGTTCTTAGCTCCCGAGACAGCCGTTATTTATTTTTAACTGCGGGAAGCTAAGCTCCTCTGCGAAGAGGATGGAGCCTAAAGCATGAGCTTGAGAGCCTGGGGTTGAGCATGAAGAACTAACTAGCTTGCAGATTATGCTGAGAGTGGATCTCATCTGGTAAAACCCTTCCAGAAAGTCCCTTGACTAATGTTATTTTCGGAGTATCTGCTTTCCGATGAGCAATGGTGTGAGGATGCTGTTAGCTTTGTCCTGTGAATACTGTGAGAACTTGTGTTCAAATCATCTCAAATTTTGTGCCTCAAGGCTGGCATTTCTGTTCTATGTCCAGTGCTGCACCTCTAAGCTTATTTCAGGTAACGAAAAGATAGGTTGCAGTTTTTTCAGTTAGCACTGCTCTTCGTTCCTCCCAGTGCTGTGCAGCGTGTGCATTTTATTGCTCACGTCCAGTTGCCAGGGTAGCAGACACAAAACCAAGCCAGAATAGCTTTGGAGAAGGGTTCAGGGATTCTTCGGAGCAAAAGCTCCTAGAGAAGCACATAGTTTTCTTGAGAACATAATTGATCGCTCTAGCCAAAATCAATGTGGGGGTTTGGTTTTGTTTTAAAAAAACACTTTCTGCAGATTTAGAGGAGTTTGTGATGTAAACATTTTGAACAGTGTGAGAGCCTTTCAGTCAAACTAAGCTTTATTTATCTATCTATTTATTAACTTCCCTTTTTTTGCCTCTTCTGATACAAGGGCAGTAACCCATAGTGATTAATGTCTGGAATTGGAATTGTCCGAGCCCTAGTCCTGAGTCATAATTGAGCCTTTTAGAGTGTTCCTGCCTGGGGAACATGCAAGACAGTTTTGACTCAATATTGATATTGGATATAGTAAATATCTTCATATTCATTATTCATATTTTGAACTTATGAGTATCCTGGTGGTATCACAATATAAATTTTGATGCTTAAAAAGAACATTAAAGCAGGATCACATATGGTTGACCTAAATATCAGCCTCTGAATCAAATGTCTCTTATTTGGCTTTTTGATGCGACTTTTTTCATGTTTACTGTTTCTTCTGTAAAAGTGTCTTGTCTCTGTTCAGTCAGCTACCAGTTTCTGGGTGCAAAATATTTGGCAGTACATCTGAGGGGAGAGAATTATGCAGTGGTGCTAGTTCTTAGCATAAAGAGTTTTGAGACTGGCTGATTTCTCAGGACCAATGATCAACACTCCAAATGTTCCAACATCTGTAAGTGGTTTTTGTGAAAAGTCCCCTGAAAGTGGTTTCTCCTGAGTCCACATCTTTGCTTAATGCTTTCATCTGTATAGTTCACACTTCCTCTGGCTTTACAGGAAAATGTTTTCATAGGATGGAGCCAGAACACCTGAAGAGGCTGCGTCAGGCCAACCAGGACCTTCTGCAAAGGCTCAGAATGAAGCAGGGAGAGATTCGAAGAAGACATCCCGGCAAGCCGCTCTTTCCAGCGTCGCTTCCTAATAGAACAGCTGCTGAAAGCTCCCTCCCCTTGCCCAAGAGAGGGGTATGTCTCGTGTCTGTGCTAGAAGTGCTGGGAAGCAAATGGGCCTTGTATGATAGGCAGCAGCTCTGCCTATGGAGTGGTGTGGTAAAGGAGACATAGGGACATGGAGGAAAGTGGACTGTGGAATATGGAGTCTCTTAGAAAAGTAGCTAGACTTTGTTTATTGTTCATCCCGTGGTTTCCAATATGTTCTTCTTGCAAAGGGTTCAGGATCAGTTCCTTGCACAGGATCAGAGCTGAGTTCCTGCCTAAGGAATGTAGATTCCTTAATCTAAGATAGGAACGGACATTGTGGAACATAATCCTTTCAGTTCTTCTAAGCACAAAGGCTGAAAGTTTAGCAGTTCCTTAAATTGGGAAAAGCTGCATTTAGCTGGAAGTAGACCCCTTTCTTATCTTCTCCAAACACTTAATAATATCTCATGAATAATATAAGGATTTTGCTTTTTTTCACCGTAGGAATTTAAAGGGGTGAGCAGACTGGAATGAGAGGTTGATTTTCTGTTAGTGAGTGAAGTGTTCTAACGAAAGCTGTTTGTAATCTGAATGATGCCATGTGGTGTGAGAGTCTCTGTCCTTACAGAAGGAAAATCAGGCTGATGCTGTGAAGTCTACAGCTGACACTGCAATGTTGGTGTCTGTGGAACCTGGAGCTTCTGCAGCCAGAGCAGCCCTCTGTTCGTCTCTTAAACAGAGCAACAATGACACAGGGGTACAGCAACAAGCAGCGAAGATGGAGGAAGCAGTAGGTTTGGATTCCAGCATTCTTGGGACAGAGAAGAATGTTACACCAGTGTCTGCAACTATTACATGTGGCAGAGAAACCTCTGGAGTGGATAGGGATGGCTGTGCTCAAGGAAGTCCAGAGAAAGAATCCTTCCTTCTGGGACATGGAGAGAACAGAAAACAGTCCACTCTGCTACAGGGTTTCCATGAGAATAAACAGCTTAAGGGTCATCTGGACCCGTCACTGAGCAGAATACAAAGTGAAGAGAGCAGCAAGCAGCATGTGGTCATTAGAGAGCCCATAATCCGTAAATCAATCCTGCTGACATCTCAGTCCAAAGACTCGAAGGTAAATGCTTCACTTATTTTCGTAAGTCAATAGAAGGATGGGAAGAACGGGTCAGGAGAACATTACCTGCCTTGTTCCCACTCTGTAAACTGGAAGTTGGGGTCAGAACTGTTCGCAGCCTTAGCAGCCAGGGGCCATTGGCAGTTTGTTCAGGCCCCGCTTTCTTAGCCCTTGAACTGAAGACTGGAAAGCTGCAGCACGTCGCTGTAAGACTCCTTGTCGTTTGCATATGTGATTCATGTGCTCAGGGAGAGCAGCCTGGTGCAGTGGTGCTGCTACATGGCTTGTTTCCTTAAGCATGAAGGGCTATTCCCGTGATCATCCTCCAAGGCAGCGCAGGTGGCCTGATGTTTGGGGATGTGTGACACAAGGAAGCCAGCATTTTGTTTAAAGCCCTGAAAAATACTACCTTAGTCTGGGCAAGTCCCACTGCCTTTTTCTGTTCTATGAGTTGAGAAGACAAGGAGCTGGTGAGCAAGTTACTGGTAGAGGGACAGATAAAATCCAGCCTCAAACTAAGCCACAGCTGTCCCATTTGAACAGCTGCCAGTTGTCTCCTAAGCTGTACCTTTGAATGTCCTGCTGGATGTATAGGAAGTGGTTGTGAACTGTTTTTTTCCCAGAAGGTAGCTCGTCATGTGACTTTTCAGTCTGACCCTGAAGAAGATACCATACCTGTGAGCAGCTGGTCCGCGCGTCCGTTCCTGGGCTATGACTGGATTGCAGGCGAGTCCTAAACCTGAAGCAAAGCTCTCAGCGTGATGTGGTAATATGAAGAGTTAAAACACAGTTTATGACCCCTTTAAGTTGAGGTGTGACAGAACTGCGGACCTAGAGCCCATGTAGCAGGTCTCGGCAGGGGAGCTGCAGTTTTGTCAGAAGCCATTCCCAATCCAGGCAGCAAATGGCAAAGCTGAGTGGGGTCAGAGGCGATACCAAATATGAAATGAATGAATACAGTAAGGGACCCAAACCACACAGTCTGGTGGTCTGTCAGTCTCTGGCTTGACGCAGTGGCATGCTCTTCTCGTTATCCATTTTGGCGCGTCGGACCTTTGGTTGTTTTGACTGTTTTGCATGAGGCTTTCTTTGGTGCTTTTCCAGATTTGGTAAATCCTTGAACTTTTCTCTTTCCTTGGCATTCTTAGGGCTCCTAGATACAAACTCTTCAGTAGCAGAAAAATCTGACCAATACTTTGCTGAGCTACATGAGTTCCGACAGGCCAACAAAGAAGTGTGTGTTCATGAGCAGCACCTGGAGTAAGTGGGTGTGGGGGAAGGGCTGAAGCTCCAACGTATCCTTTTAGAGTAATGAGAAGTATGGTCTGATTGGAGTGGGAAATCGTTAAGGGTGGATTTGTAGGCCTCCCAGTCAGAAATGTATGCTTGGAAAAGGTGGGGCTGTTCAGAGGGCCTGCTCCCCTCTTGCTAACTGCTTTGTTTGCATGTTTCTTTAGGCCCAAGGCTCTGGATTACATAGTTCCTGAACAAGAACCAGATTTGATAACCAGTTCCCATAAGTGTAAGATCAGATTTCTTCCTAATCCAATTAATGTGAAAAACAACTGAGCATTCTTTGCCTGTAGTTCTGAGAGAGCCCCACATTATGCAAGACAAGGAAAAATGTGTTATTTTTAGCTGCAGCTTCTAAATGAGATTCAACTTCCTACTCCAAAGATACTTGAGTCTTCTAGGGATCCTCTCTCAGTCAGTGTCATCTTATTTTGTCAGGGTTTCTTGTAATTGGCTAATGTTCTCTTTTAAGCTGAGGAGGTTGAAGTTTTGGTTTTGCTTTTTAGGAACTTATTTGGGGACAGGAAATGTAAAAGATATTTCAGGAAAAGCAGCTCTTTCTATAGAATGCATGTGTGGCACTGTGGTAGAACACAGCTTTGTCAACTGGGTTGAGGAACCTGCTGATGAACTAGAAATACCATGATGGTTCATTACTCTGTGGCAGGTGTTTACTGTTACCGATTAAACCAGCGCCTCTTCACTGTCCCTGTGGATTCAGAATCTGCCTGCCCCATGTGTAAGATCCCACGTGCTCACCGGCCCCCAGAGACTCTGGAAGAGCCAGCCTATGTCAGGTAGATAAGAATTACTGCTTTGTAATATGCAGAACTCAAAGAAAAAATAGGGAAGAAAAAGCTGATCATGTGAGGGTGAAAACAGTGTCAAAATAGCTCTGTGGAAGGTTGCTGTTCTCAAGGCAAGAGATACCGCTTGCTTAAAAATTCCCTAGTGATCTCCATAAGCAGAAGCAGTTTTGAAGTCAGTGGGAAATGCATGTTTTATCTGACTGTGGTTCAGAATCTGAATGTACAGAATGTTAAGTGTCTGATGTCCTAATCCAAAACTGTTTTGCTTGGTTCGCTTTGGGATTAGACCCTTGGATTCTGAGTGGGATAGGCATGCAATTTTCCTCTGCCCCGTCAAATGGTAGGCAATTGCTTCCCTTGTGTGACTGCAGGGTCAGCATTCCCAGATCTACCCTTATGCCTGCCTACAAATACAAAGCCCATCGCAGGAAGAGCTTTGAACCAGCGGACAATCTAGCATTACCTTCGGTAAGTTGCTGTCTTCTTGCGGATGCTGATGGCACAGCCAAGGCTGGGCATTGTTTAACAGCACGAGAAGGAAAGAGAATCTGGGACTCATCATCCTGACAGGGTTTCCATTAAAATTTCTGATCTGCATCACTGAGATAGCAAGATAAACCATTGGTGTGTGCTTCTGAGTTCATATCTTTGTGTAACTGATGTAATGTGTATGACCTATCTCTAAATGCTTTACACTGAGAAAGTGCCTTATAGAGCTGTATACTTCTGGGGCATGATTCAGCTGACCTATTTCAGGCATTGACCTTTGAACACGATGAACCATACCTAAAAGTGTCTGCATTTCTTTCCACAGATGTCAGGGAGTCTAAAAGATAAGCTTCTGTGAAGTATTCCCAGTGTGTAGGGGCCAGGCAAAATCAGTAGTGACAAGGGTGGATTTAAAACTGGTTTTGTAGAGTTGGTCCCGTGTTCCAGCCACTAGGCAATGTGGCAGGCTGTATTGCTAATCAGACCTAGCCCTGGCCTAGAAATTTCCGGGGAAGAGGTTAGAAAGAAGCCAGATTTTGAGGTTTAGGGAACTGGCCGAGTCAGTTGAGACAGGTTCAGAGAGGTCAGGTGCTTGAGTATGGAAAGCAGATCAGTTTAGAAATAATTAGTGAAAGGTGGAAGAGGGGACAGCTAAGCAGTTTTGCTTCATTAGAGGTTTCTTCTCCTTCCTATTAGTCATATAAAACTCCTCAAAAATGAATCAATTACCTGCTACAACCTCCCTGTGCAGAAGGTATTATTTAGAGCTAACAGGCCACAATAGGTTAAAAAGGGTAAACTGCTCCAATGCAGCATTCCCATCTCTTTTCACAGCATTGCCTGGCTGGCTGGGAAAATATCATCCCTTCCAGCAACCCCACGCTCAGCAGTTTGGATCTGCGAGCTTCACTGGAAGAGAAGCCTTCTCACCATCCTCGCCTGGTAAGAACAGCCCATTAAGAGTCCCTGGAGATGCTGCGAATTGCACAGATGGGACTTGCAGTCCCCTCTCTCTAAAGGGTATCGTAATCATTGATGGCTGAGCAAATGAAAATGCCTGGAAGATTATCTCATCTCCACAGGGAAACTTTTTCCTTCCGCTGGTGTGTAAACTAGTGTGCACAGACACAAGAAACCAAATGGAGCTGGATAACAGGCAAAAGCCTGCTCAGCTCACCAATCTTCATCAAAATGGGAAAAGTCACTTTGGCATTCTTTGATTAATACCCTCTTCGTTTGGATTCCAGAACTTGGTGTCCAGAGTGTCAGGAGGAACCAGAACTGACCAGCTTCTGAACCTGACCCACTTGACACACACTTCAGATTTAGCAGTGCTTCTCAGCAGAGGGAGCAAAACAAACCTGGACACTACAGAGCAGCTCCAAATTTAAATCTGCCTGCCTCAACTCTGTGAACCACTGATTTGGTGGCCCTGGGGAAGGGATGGGTGCAGGGTGTGGAAATAACTCTTATTTGAATAAAAATAAGCCTTTCAACAGCTTTTTCCTGGTTTTCCTAGTCGTGTGCGTATGTGAGCAACCAATACACATGTATGAGAGTTGTGCATTCAACTGTGTTTTTTCGCTTTTCTTTTTTGCCTTTTGCAGCTACTTCTAAGCAGATGCATGAGCTTTCCCACCTAGGGCTGGATAGAATGATGTGTACAGGATGACTAACTAGTCCTGTTACCACTAGGACAGCCGTAGCAACAGAGTTCATCTGCCCCCTCAACTAAATAAACCAGAAGTGGAGTGTTAACTAAATGCCAGGGTGAGGAATGACCTGGTTCAGTGGAAAGCGTACAAATATGTTTGAAACGTAACACAATTTGCTGGCGCCTTAAACTTAGGTTACTCAAGAATTTAGGTGAAACAAAACAAAAAAACCGAGTTTATTTTCAGTGCAATGTCTGTAGCTACAGGGTGCAGTACATCAGAGTAATTACGAATGTGAAAAAGCATGTTAAAGTAAACCGAGATTTTTTTAATCAAAAAGCTAGATAATGCCTTAAAATGTTTGCAAGTTACACTTGCCTCTGCTTTTCCCAATTTTTTTGGAGGTAAACCAAAAAACATTTTGGAGTTTTTAAATGATACCAAACCAAAGTATATTATACAGTGTGATTTGTTTGAACTTTATAGACTGATCGATCTTTGTCTAAAAATGATAAAACTGATGTTTTGTTTTGCCTTGAATAAGCCTGAAACATAAATTTCTGCCTTAAATTTATTTCTGGGTGTTAACTTGACAGAAGGAGTTTGGTTTACACCAATGATCTTTTCTTGGTTTTCCGTTTCTTGGCATTTACTGTTATTTTTATACCAAATACATTATTTATTAAATCGGATGCATCAACAGACTTTTTTTTTCAAGCAAGGAAAGGAATATTGTGGTTTATGAAACCTTAATGAAAGACTTAGAATGGAAAATGAAAAGCATCACTGATGAGTTTAGCTTTGGGTTGTCCGTATGTATAGCAAAGTGAATGAAATCGGTCACATTATTTCCATTATTGAAAATACTAATTTTAAAAGAAATTAATTCACTGAATATAAAACACTAGCTGCCAAATGTTGTACTAAATAGGGCAGATTCAAGATTTTTACTACCTTGCCTTCAAACCCGAAACATTAGAAGTCATAAACCTCTTCTTAATTTATCCTGAAATAAATTACAGTAAGCCTGCTGCACTTTGTAAGTAGACAAAATGAAGCACTGTAAGATTAAGTAACTTATGTGAGATCTACCTGGTGAATGCATGGTGGAACCAACGTTGAGCTCAACATGTCTCTTGATAACCAGAAATTCGATCTTTTACACTTGTGAAAGTGTTGAAAGTGTGATTATGACTCTCTTCCTCTGCTAGAAACAGGTGAAAAGTCAGTGACACTGCACCTGCTTACCCAAGTTGACCTCAATTTGGCTCTTTGTAGTTGGCTCTGGCCTGTTTGATCCTGCCCTCATTTGCAAGCTGAAACAGACTGAAAATGGTACCCGTTTATGGAACCTCTTTTTTTTTTTTCTTTTCTTTTTTTTTTTTTCCCCTCCATCTCCCTCCATATCTCACCATTGCAAGGCGAAGCCTTATGGTGCCAGATCTTGTCCAGAGTAGCAAATAGAAAATGTTCCTTTCCCCATGCACGCACTTCAGGCTAGCTTTCACCCTCCTTTCCACCCTTCCTCTTGTGTTCTCATATCCCCTTTCAGGTGGAGCTTCTCACAAATGCTCTGTCTTGAAATATTCTTTTCTTTTAATTACCTGAGCCATCCCATGTGCCCTTTTTGCTAATAAAAAGAAAATTCACTTTCACATTAAGAGAACTGATTTCAATTTCCATGTTAAAATACTGTCACCTTAGTGCCACTTTCTTGTCTGAACTGATACAGGAAATTGTTTCCTTTGCTTTTTGTTTATTACTCTTTCAGAGCAGAGAATCTGGTTTGCCTATTAACTTGGGGAGTGACCTGATGGTTCTATGTTGTTTTTTTATAGTAGTGTCTCCATATCAGTGCAGAATAAGCTTATGTCATGATCCTTTTTGCATAGAGAATCTAAACAGTGTACTCCTGTTTTCCAGCAGAGCTTAAACAAACTGTATGTTTTGAAATTTCTGCTCTGAGTAGTGCCCAGGTCAGTTTGTAGTTGATAATATACAGAAACAGATTTTTCTGCTGGTCAACTTGGTCTTCTCTTTCCATTCATAATTGAAATTATAAAAGATTTTGCAATTGGAGGTTGGTTAATATTGTTGATACGTGATCCAGAATTTGATCTAGAACCCTTTGTTCTTAGCTGCACTGTTTCTCTGGGAGAGAGACAGGAGATCTGAAAATAAGTGAACACCTATTTTTTTAATTAGGACACCTGGCCATGGATGTGCACGGAGGCCTCACTTCTAGTAAGACGGTGATTCGCGTATAGTCAAGCTTGTGATCATAATCTCTCTTCAAGGCAGAGTTACCAAAAAGACACTTGCTCTGATTTCACGTGAGCTGCAGCTGAGGTAAACGTGTGTACCCTTTTCATCTGTTCTCTCACAACCACTGCTGAGGTCTGTAAGGCTATGTGCCAAGCAACGTGGCTGCTGATTGTATTCGAGATGTCAAAGTTACAAATCCTCATTAGTTTAATTTGAGCATCAGTAATGCAAGGAATAACAACAGAAAAGTCATTTCTAGAAAGTGAGGTCATGCTTTGTGAGAACCAGATGTTTTAATTTTTGGTCCTGAATATGAGACAGAATCTCAATGCAAAAGATGGGCCAAGGAAGTTTTATCCAGACTAGAGTACTGGTAAGTAACTGGCCTGCAGAAGGTGCCTTTGAACCAGAAGTAGTTTGGGTGTGGATACATGAACGAGTTACAGTGTCATAACGAGGTTTTGCGTGGTGGCTTTGTCCTGCTTAAGCCTTAACACAATCTGAGATAATACACCCTTTCACGTAGGGGGAGGGTGACTGAGATGTCACCTGGGGGTACATTGTAAAGGAATGCATCTGTTTACTGGTTGAAAAACTGCATTTCATCCAGTGTTGAAGCAGCTTCTGCACTTGGACTGTGGACTCTGCAGCAACCTGAGCTGTGAAGGAGCCAGTGCTGGAAACTGCACTTCCAGGGAGGAACAGAGGGTGGGGGTAGTGTGCGTGGGATGTTGGGATAGCGGGTTAGGAAAATAGGGGAACGTTTTGAGGCGGGGGGGGGTTTCTGGACAGGAGGCTAAGCAGGGGTGAGACTGTAGGAATATATAGTAGGAGGCCAGAATGGTGAGAGGTGTGTTGGGAGGAGGCAGAGGGCATGAAATACTGGGACTATAAAGAGGAGGGCTGCATGGGAAAGTAGGAATGTAAGATGTGTGGTTGGGGGAGACCTTTGCTGATCTGGCATTCAAAATGGTGCGATAAGGAAGCGTTCCCATTATCTCCAGGGCTATGTCCTTAGCCACAAAATAATACAAATACTGAACTTTGTTGTGCAGGCACAGGGCTCTGGGGTACCTCGTCTGCCATTGCTGGAGATAGTCATGCTGCTGTATGGCCTGTGGCCAAGATTTAGGGAGATATGTCCCCCTAATGCCTGAGGTACACAGTAATTCCCAAGGAGAATTAATTCTTTACAACAGTTGGTAAGGAAGGATCTGCTTAAGCCTGGCTTAGTTTGTGTTGTCATTACGTTAGAGACTAGGAGATGCAATTCCATTGGAGACAAGGGGGCTGGAGCAGCTCCCCTGTGAGGACAGGCTGAGAGAGCTGGGGTTGTTCAGCCTGGAGAAGAGGATGCTCTGGGGAGGTCTTATAGTGGCCTTCCAGTGCTGAAAAGGGGCCTGAAGGAAAGGTGGGGAGGGATGCTGTACTGGGGAGTGTAGTGATAGGATGAGGGGTAACGGTTTAAAACTGAAAGAGAAGAGATTTAGATTAGATATTGGGAAGAAGTTCTTTACGGTGGGGGTGGTGAGACACTGGCAGAGGGTGCCCAGAGGAGCTGTGGCTGGCCCCCCCCCCGGCCGGGATGGATGGGGCTTGGAGCAACCTGGTCGAGTGGAAGATGTCCCTGCCATGGCAGGGGGGTTGGAACTGAATGATCTTGGGGGCTGGAACTAAATGATCTTTACGTTCCCTTCCAACCAAAACCATTCTGTGATTCTGTGTTTGTGGTAATGGTTTAAGATGAAATTTTTTTATCTTGATCAGTTAGAGGTGGGAAGGGAGAACTCAAATGTGCCATAGAGGGGTGGCAGTCTGTTCCCAACGGTCTTCTGCAATGTGGCGTAATAACCCTCAGGGAGAAGGCAGAGATCCTTCACTCTGATGTGTGACTGGTGTGTGTGATTACAGTGGAAGAATTTACTGGGAGAATAATGTATGCATTTGGCAAAATTAGACTCTACTATGTTGCTCACACTTTGATGCCACTAGAAGTTGGAGTAGCCAAAGTGAAGCTAAGCGTTCTTGACTTGACCTGGAGTATTTTTTTTGTGTGTTCATGGCACTCGGGAACATACTGGTTTAGCCTGTGCGGCTGTATCTTCTGTTGATGGCTGGCTCCAATGTGTGTGCCCATTTGTGTTAGTTCACTTCTGGCATGAGAGATGACTGCCTGATGCTTTGATGGGAAAGCTGGTGGTTTGGTTCCCCTTTCTGACTGTATTGCATGTATGTAACACTGGTTCCTAAGCTGGGAAATCCAGCTTTGCTTAACTAAACAAATTAGAAACAGCAAGCGATGCATTTGTGATTTGGTTTTAACTGAGAAGTGTAGTTCAGCCTTTCAAATGTAGCTCCATCTGCTGCTCAGTAACTGTTAGACTGCCATTAGTGTTTTGACTGCTTTCCCTGAGATTATTGTAAAATAGTTTTGGTGATGTCTCAGGATCAGATGTTTCTTGCTGTCAGTACGTTGTAAGAATTAATATCAAGA